GGGGGGCGGGGCGATCCGGCGTGGGGGGTGGGGGGAGGCATTGTCTGTGCGCGACCCCTCCTCTTCCTCCCGCGCGGGGGCGGCCGCTGCCCGGCCGGAGCGGGGACAATGGGGTGGCCCGTCCCGGGGCTTTGTTCCCCCGGGCAGCGCAGGGGGGTTCCCCGGCCGGTCCCGCAGGGGATCCCCCCGCCCCGACCCCACCGGGGGTCCGTGCTGCGAGGACCCGGGCTCCGAGTCCCCCGCCCGGGGTCCCTCCTGGGGACAAAGCACCCGGGGCCGGGGCAACGAGCGCCGGTCCCCGCCGGGCCGGAACCGGCGGCAGCAGCCCGGCACGTTTTGGTTCTAAAATAATCGATTATAATAGAATAAAAGATTTCCCGGGGGGGTGGGCCGCTTGTGACCCTCGCGTGGTGCCGGCTCGCAGTCCCGTACCGGCCGCTCCACGGTCCCTCCCGAGCCGCACTACCGGGGGTGCGGCGGCACCGCACGCACCGAGGCGTGCAGGGCGGCGTGAGGAGCTGCTGCACGGCGGTTGTGCGCTGTGGGCGTGGAAGGATGAAATATGGTGCTTTACAGGCATGGAAGAAGATGAGTCAGCACCTCAGGGAGTTGCCGTCCGCGGGCCCGGAGCCCGCCGTTAACCGTGCGGGAGCCGCAGGGATATGAATTGCCGTCGCCCCGGCGCCTGGGTGCCCGCGGCGCGCAGGGACTGAGCGGGAGCCGGACGGGCCATGGGGTGTCCTGCGTGGGGCCTCGCCTGCACCCCGGGCACTGCCGTCTCCGGTAAGCGATGCCGGGTTTAGCGATGCCGGGTTTAGCGATGCCGGGTTTAGCGATGCCGGGTTTAGAAAAGCGTTCGGAGCTGCAGCGGGTGCGTTGGGCTGTCCCCGCTGCGGGGGGAATGTCACCACAAGGGACCCTCTGCATGAGGGAATGAGAAACTGGATGTTTCATAGGGCGTGGGGCTGCCCTGGGGGCTGCAGGATGTGGACGTGCCTGGGGTGCTGGGTCGATGCCAGGGGCTTATCTTGGGTTGGGCGCTGTCACCTTTCATTGTTTTCTTTGACAATTACCGCGGCCGTTCGTTGATGAGCTGTAGGAGCATTTTTTTTTAGCCGAAGGTGACACAGAATTGTAACACAGCRCCGCACTTTTTGTTCGAGTTCATTTACCTTCTGCCAGCTCGGCTCTTTGTGTGCCACACCTCTTAGATTTTACAGAAAAGCCGTGAATGACCTCCCATCCCTGAGCCGTGCACAGCCATCCCGGCGGGTGGGTGCAGCTCAGGGGGTGAGGAGCCGCTGGGGCCCTCCTGGCCGCAGGGATTTGCCTCCGGGAGATGAATCCTCTTGGGAATGAGCTCTGATTTGGGGGATGCTGCTCCTCTCCCGGCTGCCCCTCAGTGCTGTTGTTCCTGTGCTCCCCCCGAGGATGGAGGGCAGGGTCGCTGTCCTGTCCTTTCCTGGGGCTGGGAAGGGAAGGCCGTGTGAGTGGAGCTGCTCCACCCGCTGCCTGCTGAGCTGTGAGGGGCTGGGGGTCACAAGTGGGAGCAGCCCTTGGCATTTGTGTCTCTTTAGGGACCACAGTGCCATCAGCTTTGTCCCTTGTGGGGACCCTGCATGATCTCCAGTGCTGTGCAGCCCCCATGCCACCCCTGCTCCTGCTGAGGGTGAAAAGGGCTCTGCTGCTCCCTGGGCTGGAAATCTCCTTTCTTCTSCCAGGGGTTTATTAAAAACTGGTCCTGGGCAGTCCCTGGGCTGCCGTGGGCTCCGTGCTTTTTACCCCTGGCAGAGTGGGGTGTCCCCAGAGCTTGTGGGATGTCCTGTTTCCTCTTGGTCAGCCAGAGGAGACCATTCCAAGCACGGAGCTTCCCTGGGCATTGCTGGCTGGAGCCACCACAGGGGCTGCACCAGCTGGGGCTGTTGATTGGGGCAGGAGGAGATGAGTGCGTTTTTCATGAATTCAGTGTTTCCCATCCCTGACACAGACTTCACCTTTCTGGAGAAACTCGGGAACATGCACTGAATAGCTTGGCCCCATGTTCTCTCCAAGACAGTGGGGCCAGTAAATTCACCAATCACCATGAAAACCTTCATTATCTTAAAAGTGAGAGTCAGACCCCTGAACTAATCCGATGGAACATGATTTTGTAGYTTTTCCCAAGTATGCCAGACATCCCAGGAATGCCGTGTGTCCTGCGTTAGGTCTGTAGCAGGGGCTGCCAGACTGGGGTGGGGGTTTGGTGTCCAAGGAARGGATTTTCCCCCTGTTGAGGGGGAAAGAGCTGTGCTGCTCCCTGGGCTGGAAATCTCTGTTCTGTCCCCAGGAGTTTGGTGGCAGCTCACCCCTGATCTGCTGTGGGTTCTGCGCTTTCTGCCCGTCCTGTCAGGCCAAGCAAAGGACTCTGCTGTGCTCTGGGGGTTCGCTGAGTGAGGAGCCCTGGCCTGCGAGGTGCAGGGTGGGGTCAAGGCCATGGGTGTTCCCACAGGGCCCCCCCAAAGCAGGGGCATTTCAGGGGTGCCCTGTTCCCTCCAGCGCTGCAGGACCCCAATGTCTGTGCTGATGGGGCCCGAGGGGTGCGGGATATCCCTGACTCACAGGGTGAGGCTGGGCCAGCCCAGGGCCATGGTGGCCATGTTTGCTGTGGGCAAATGGTGGCTGTTTTCCCCAAGGCATCAGCCAATCGAAGCGCAGAGATCTGCATATCATTTGGGTACTGCAGGCGGGTATGGAGCTGTGCKGCTTCCAGGATGGGATGGACAGGGAGCGCGTTGTGTCTGCGCCCTGTGCCGTGTGAGGAGCGGCGTTTGGAGAGGCAGCARTGTCCCTGCACACAGTGTGCCATAAATAAATACGTGTCCTTGTGTGTTTGTTGTTATGTTCCCATCCCGCAGTGGTTGGGACCCCTGGGCAGCAAGCAGCTTCCCAGTGCAGGAAAAAGAAAAGGGAGCAAATGGTGTGGAAATGCATGGCAAATTGGGATGCAATACACAGCGGGGCTCTCCCTGCTGCCTGACCCCCAGCCCGGGGAGGGGGGAGGTGGGGAATGAATTACGTGGGGATGGGATGAGATGGAGGGCAGGAGGATGCAGGGATCAGGCAGAGACTGTGTCCGGGAAGGGCCAGGCTGGGCTTTGGCCTTTGTAATCTGGAAATGTTTGGTGAAAATATCCCAGTACACGAAGTGTGAGAAGCAAYGGGGGAAAGGCTGGGAAGGGCTCAAAGGACATGCAAAATTTGACAATTGTGTGTTTCCCTGGCCGGGCTAGAGATGACTCCTGGGCTGGGGAGCTGGGGGCAGGAGCTGGTTTAGGCCCTGTGTGTCTGTGGGGTTAAACTCCTCACACCACAGGGGCGAGGAGCTGTCTGTCTCTCTGGCCCGGCTATCTATGCATCCCCAGCCCGGGGCACGCTGTCGGGGCCAGGAGAGGACGGTGAGATTTCGGTGCGTGGTGTGGATCTGCAGGGCATCCCTGGGAGCATCCCTGTGTGTTTCGGTGCTGCGGGAGCTGAGCATCCCCCGGGCCGGCGGCCGCCGGGCGGGGCTCCCAGGCTTTGTCCCCAGGACCGAGGAGCGGGTCCCCTCCCGGGGACAGTGACAGCCCCGGGGCAGCGAGAGGCTGGCGGCTGCAGGCACCGCTTTGGGGGATGCTCCGGGCCGGGATTTTACCGTGAGCGGCTCCCCCCGACCGCGGCGGAGCTCGGGGGCAGCGGGCGCTGAGCGCGGCTCGGGAGCCCTCGGCCGCCGGCTGGAGGTACTGCACCGGGACACCGGGACTGCACCGGGACACCGGGACACCGGGACTGCACCGGGACACCGGGACTGCACCGGGACACCGGGACACCGGGACTGCACCGGGACACCGGGACACCGGTACTGCACCGGGATACCGGGACTGCACCGGGACACCGGGACACCGGTACTGCACCGGGACTGCACCGGGACACGGGGACACCGGTACTGCACCGGGATACCGGGACACCGGGACTGCACCGGGACACCGGGACACCGGGACTGCACCGGGACACCGGGACTGCACCGGGACACCGGGACTGCACCGGGACTGCACCGGGACACCGGGACAGAGGGACACCGGGACACCGGTACTGCACCGGGACACCGGGACTGCACCGGGACACCGGGACTGCACCGGGACAGAGGGACACCGGTACTGCACCGGGACACCGGGACTGCACCGGGACACCGGACACCGGGACACCGGGACACCGGGACACCGGACACCGGGACACCGGGACACCGGGAGGCTGCCGGTACTGCACCGGGACACCGGGACAGCGGACACCGGGACACCGGGAGGCACCAGGAGACACCGGGAGCACCGGGACACCGGGATGGAGGAACGGGACCGCTCTGGCTTCGGGAAGGGGGATCCCCACTCCCGCGTCTCAGCAGCGCACAGCTCGGAGGATGATCCGTGCTGCAATCCCAGATGGGTGGGACACGCTCCGTGCCCAGCACGCTGCATTTGGCCAGCCCGAGAGAAAACGGCCCCCCCGAGCTGTGTCCATGGTAATCGCTGTGACTGAGGGCTAATGGGAGCCTTCCCAGCGATTCCCAGGGTTCAGCCTAATTCCAGCACGGTCCCTTCCTCACCATGGGTTTTTCTGGCAGAGCCTCCTCACCAAAGCGCCGCTGGTTGAGTCAGGAACTCAATTCCTGTTCCCAGTTGAGGAAAAATCAGCTCTCAGATGAGGAGAGGTTGGTCACTACAAACTCTGTGTTCCCTGTGTGGGTCTGGAACCAGCCCTATGAGAACTGCAGCCTCTCAGTGCTTGAGGGGCTTATAAAAAAGAGGGAGAGTGGTATAAAAATGGGCAGAGTGATAGAAGTTTTAAACTTCAGAGAGGAGAGATTTCAGTTAAATGTTAGGAAGAAATTCTCGTTTGTGAGGGTGGGCAGGCCCTGGCACAGGGTGCCCAGAGAAGCTGTGGCTGCCCCTGGATCCCTGGCAGTGTCCCAGGCCAGGCTGGACATTGGGGCTGGGAACAGCCTGGAACAGTGGGAGGTGTCCCTGCCATGGATGGGCTGGGATGGGATGAGATTTAAGGTCCCTCCAACCCCATTCCATGGCTGTGTGATCCTGCTCCAAACCTGCTGGGCATGGGTCACTCAGAGCCTGGTCCCGGTGGGTTCTGAGCTCTGCAGGCTCTGCCAGGATCTCCAGGACACCAAATTCCCAACAGAGCCAGCTGCCTCTGCCATTGGATGTGCTGACCTGCATGGCAAGTGCCAAGGTCACYAGGAGGATAACGGGGAAGGTTTCTGTGCGCTCTCATCATTAATATCAATTTCATTGGYGTGCACAGCGCTGGCCACGCTCCCCTTTCAGAGCCTCCCTGCTCTGCTGCCGCCCTGACCCCCACCCCAGCACGGTCTCAAGCCAAACATTTTCTTCCTGTTTTTCTGAGGGTGCGGCTCTTGTTTCATCTCGTTGGGTGAAGCCGATGCCGTGAGTGAGTCTCTATGGCAACAGATGTTTATCGAGCCCCTGAGATGAGGCACAGGGCTGGGGAAAGGCACCACAGCATCTGGGKGGGTCTGGGGGTGCCGGAATGCCACACTGGGAGGGTCTGAATGGGGGCTGCTGCATGGGGGGGGTCTCCATTCCTGTCCCCTAAACCCCAGCCTGGCTGAGGGACCCTGGGCTGCCTCTTGCAGGGGTTTGGCTTTGTGCAGGGGCTCAGAACAAATACTTTTAATTCATTTGGATACTCAGTTGGTATCAGCAGTTCCTGCTCCAAACCCGCACTGGGGCTGTTGTGCCTCCCGAGTTGGGGTGATGCACACATGGGGTGACCCTGACAAGGTCAGGCTGTACATCAGTGCCACCTTCCAAAAAGAGCATCCTGGTGTCACCCCAAACCGTGGGAGAGGCATCTCCCCCGGGACTCAGTCACACGGGAGGAGCGTGGGTCAGTAATTTGGAGAAGTTTTGGGAATTCTGTCCAATTCCCTGAGCCTGGGGCTGATTGTCTTTGTGAGCCGTGTCCWTCCCCATCTTGCCACAAGTTCTGGAACGTGGGGCTGCCAGGACAGGAGAGCACGGCGCTGCTGGAGCTTGGGTCAGGGCGCTGCAGCCTCTGGAGGTGTGCTGTGCTGGAAGTGCCAGGGAATTAAATCAGGAGTTACTTGTCCTGGAGTTACCTGTCCTGCTGGTTCTCTGGACACATTTGCTCTGTGAAGGGAAGTGACAAAGTCTGGCCTTGCAGCCGCACACAGGCACGTACAGAGCCACGGCAGTGAGGGATTCGCCCTTTGTGGCTGCTCGTGGCATGGCCCAGACCTGGCTGTGCACAGGGGACAGAGGGGACAGGRCAGGGGGCAGTGACAGGGTCCAGGGGAGTGCCCACACCCCCTCTCCAGCCCATGCCCTGGGGGTGTCAGTGCTGACCTGGGGCAGGAAGAACGCAGAATCCTGTCCGGGGTGTGAAGCCCCGGCTGTGCCCCGTGGGGAGTGTTTTTGGGGGGCTCCACAGACTGACAAAACCCGGGGAGACCATGCCCAAAATGTACCCTGTTTGCCTGGGTACGGGTTCTTCCTGGGCCCTTGGGGTCAGTTACCTGATGGGGGTTAGAAAACTCCTCCCCAGCATCCCAGAACGAGAGCGAGTCCCAACATCAGCGGCAGCTTCGTGGCGGGCTGGAGACGCGCACCCGAACCTGTCGAACCTTCAGTRCCACCTGCAGAGAGGAGGGTGGATGCCGGCCCTACCGCGGGGACCCGGTGGTGGCCCGTGGGACGGGTCACTGTCACCGCCTGCCACCCATCCTGCTTCCCCCACCCTGCCGGGAGCTGATCCTCCCCGGTGCCGGGGGCACGGTGACCCCTGCTCGGATCCCGAGCCCGGGGGCGGCGGCGGAGGGAGCGGAGGGAGCGGACAGAGCGGAGGAGGCGAAGAGGGAGGCGGCGGAGGGAGCGGAGCGGGGAGCGGAGGGAGCGGAGGAGGCGGAGGGGGGTCCGGCCGGTGCTCCGGTACCGCCGGGCGGGGGCGGGAGCGGCGGCGGCCGCCAGGTGTCGCTGTTCCCGCGGGAATCCCGGCGGAGCGGAGCGGAGCGCTCCCGGTGCCGCTCCCGGTGCCG